AATAACCAAGTTGATAACATGTCCAAAGCATCGCAAGCGCCGTTCTCTTGGATTGAATTGGATTCCTATCTCTGCTAAATAAACAGCTATTTGAGTAAGGGAGCTATCATTATTAGTTGTATTATCTAATGTAAAGTACCCAATTTTTGTTTCTAACCCATAAAGCTTTACAATCTCCCAGAAGTGTTCTGCTTGATTGATACCAGTATGTGCTCCAACAAATTGCCGAAGACCCAATAATGATCTATGGAGTTTACCATCAGCGGCAATCCAGTGTCCGACGATACCCAAAAATGCACGGTAATTTGGAGAAGTCTATAAGTCGAAGGTAAAATGTACGGTTCGTACTTCTGATAAGCTTTTCTTTATGATTTGTTGGGCATCATGATAGTGTTCCAGGATCCAGGATCGAATGGTGGAACCACTTTTTGGTAAGCTACTAGGAATTGAAGTGTAGGATTGTGCCTATTTTAAATATATGTACATTCTAATTAGCACTGAAACAGGTAGTAATAACTCGAGGCTTTTGATAAAGTAAAGTAAAATATTTGAATTACAAGTAAATTATAAGCAATATGTACTCAACATTATAGTATAGTAGCTCAAGGAATTTTAGAGGTAAGAATGCAATAATAATGACTTACACAAGCACAAAGATAGGCTAACAGAACTCGAAATGCAGCATTTTCAACCTGCTGAAAGCTGATATTATTCGCAATAATCCATCTTATTAGAAGTTGCTTAAAGATTTTCTTATTGAATTGGACTGTGCGAGACTGGGAGGCCTGTCCAAAGGCTTCCGCAATATGAGATCCAGCTTGAGATTTCTGGCCTTCTGGGTTGTCCTTAGTGATACCGTGATCATCACCAAGGTGTTCTATCATATTACGTGTTGAGGAATCACCAAATGTTTTCGCAGCATGTCTTGAAGTACCTATTCTTAATCATTAGCTTTTAAACTATTTATTAAATTTAATCATACACAATAGTGACTTTTAAATCAATTTCACTATATATATACATACAATGTTTACACCTCCAGCGCCATTTACATGCCTCTAAATACTCCTCGCCATGTCTCGGATCCCAAACCCAACTCTTTCGAACTTTTTTCACTGGAAGAAAGTGTTCAGTGACAGGAGATGAATGACTTTGCTCGATCGTATTACTTCTAAGTGTTGGCATTAACAAACTTGATGGAGCATCAGTAAAATCACTAATTGTACTCGAAGCAGAACCTAAGGGTGGGTCATATTGGAGATTTGTTCGCTGCTGGTGAACTTGAACATCCCGGAGGTGCAAAAGAACAGGATCGACGGTAGCTTGTACATTAACAGGAGGATTTAGAAGAATCCCAGCAGAAGAAATTGAATCGGAAGCAAGTATTATGAGGTTTGACTGTGTTGGAGAGCTTGATGCCAGTGGTGAATCATTAGGACTCCGTCGAGTTTGGGGCAAGTCACTCATAATGAGATCTATCTTGATGGAAGAATGCAGGAGTTGGTGGATACTGGTGGATAGATAAACTATGGAGAAAGTCGGTGGGAAATTGAATTGCCCTCACAAAAACCAGATTTGAATTTGGCCCAGAGGCCTGTAGGCTCTTATCAGGCCTGGTAGGCTTCTGCAGGCTGGTCGAATTTAGCCTAGTCTGCCCAGGCCTATTCCCGGAGTGGCCGGCCTTGGCCTGGCCTACGGCCTATAGGCCAGCCTATCACCGGCCTGGCCCGTTGGGAACACTGCCCTTAACAATCCACTCTGTGTATAAATTAAATAATAAAGAAAGAAATTAAAGCTAAGAATACTAGCTAATACCTTGTATAGCCTCCCTTTGCCTCCAAAACTGCAGCTACTCTATTAGGTATTAATTTCCACAATTTTTTTAAAAAAACACCTCAGGAATTGTCCCCCAAACCAAAGGTAATACTTGTGCAAGGCTCTTCTTAACAGCTTCTTTTCCTCCTTGGGTATCCACAATCCTTGGGTACTGCTGGTACATATTTATCCTGGAAGTCAGATCTGGTTATTTTTTAGTTGGATTTTGCTGCTTGGATTACTATGTAATGCTGTTGCTAGCTGAGAACCAGTGGGCAACCAGGGTGAGGAATATTATCCAATGATTGATGTTTACATACTCAAGTAAGAAAGCTTTTAGTAGTTGTCCATGGTAGTCTCATAGCTTGAGCAATTAGGGCAATGTTTCAAGGTAGTAGAACAAGCCGATTATCATACCTTTTTCAACATTGGTCATTTCTCTTCAAAAGATCTTAGGGGTATGCTTTTTTTGAGGCAGAATTAGAATATCTAGAGTAGTTAACTATTGGAAATTTAGAGAGGATAAATCATTAAAAAGAAGGCAGTATCAAGGCTGTTATGTAGGAATTGGCTATAGTATGGTCATGATCAACTTGGTGATCTGGCATTTAGCAAGGTGCTTAGTCAACCTTTTACAAACACTTCTGACTAGGGGCTGTACTTCTATCAGGGAGTCATTGGATAGGTCGATATGTTGGGGGTGAGTATAGATGCGTCCTCCAACAGGGTTTTGAACATCGTATCGGAGAAGGTTATAGTGATAGCGAAATGAACGAATGAATGAACCAACCATGAAATGAGCACGGAACCAGCGAATGACAGGCTATGAAACTAAAACAACACCTAGTGAAACGGTACAACCAATGCCATGCAACGAACATGAAACGAAACTAAAGGCCAAGATTAATGGAGTAACCCCATCGTGGTATGTGAGTCTAGGGCATACTGAGTTGAGTTGAAGCAGTCACTAGGATGTATGTGACTTGTTCTTCTGATGTTTGTATGATGGCTAGCCCTCTACGAGCATAGCCATCACATGGTGTATCTAGTTGTGGTTTTGTTTTCTTTCTTTCTTTCTTCATGTATGTCCATGCCACCTTGAACATAGCTTCTACATCTCCCATTAGCTTCCCATTGGTGTTTTTTCTTCTCCACTCCCTTTTTTCCTTGGACTCGGCCAGTCTTCCACACAGCGCTACTATCAAAGATCTCATATAGAACGATCGCACGACTCACGAGTAGGGGAAAAGTCTTCACTTCGTCTGCTTCTCACTATCACGCATGACTAGCTAACGGTAAAGACGGGTATATATCAACGGCAAAATAATGAAGTCCTTGTGAAAAAATAGAGTCAAAGGGAATAAAGAGTTTGTGAATGAGAAGCGAAACGAGTGAACCAAGCGGAGACTTGTTATTTTGCGACCTTGTCTTGTCATAATGTTGTGAACAAAAGAGACCTCTTAAATACATAAGTCAATCAATAACTCTTCTGCAGTCCCTCGAACATAATCACGCCATTTCCGTATCTTCTGATACCATCGCCTTACCCCTCCTTTCCTCCACTTTCCTGCTCTTGCATACCTGCTTACCCCTCACTCCGGATAGTTCACCGGGTACCCCACTCCGGTGAATCATCCGTTATTCTTCTCGTATGTTCCAGCTCAAGAAGAGGGGGAGAGATCTCGGAAGGAGCGCCGGTGAATAACAACAGTCCTAACCCTCCAGGTACGTCTCCCACACACTAGCAAACAAGAAACGCTAACAAAGGAAAGGCAAACTCCCGCTACGAATAACCTCCGGTCCTCCTTATGGACGTTCTACTTTCCTTGTAGCCTTCCCGCCTTCCTTCCGGCCGAAGCATTTCTCTAACTCGAAGACCCCAGCACATTTCCACGGCCGAAGTGGTTTCCAGAAAAGCCAGACTGCGCGGGGTGAAGCCAGGCTGCACGGGAAACCAAAAGCGCGCTCGCGGAGGGTATGCGAGCAGACAAACTATCGTGAGAGCATGCCGAGCAGTACTGTCGGAGTCCTTGCTCCTTAGACGATTCTGTGAGGCGAGGGTAGGCTAGCCAGGGCGTGGACAAACTTGCTCTTGCTTTTCCAACGAAGTAAATAAATTCTAGAAGTAAAGAAGAAAACCTAAAAGCCGAAGACAAGAGAAAGACAAAGGGCTCTCTCTTGAGAAAAAAAAGAACTCAAGAAAAATCCCGCCTCAAAGGAAAGAAAAGAAAAAAACCTGTCCCTCTTCTCTGAGAGGACTGATGAAAAACTAAACTAGGCCGCACTGTAGTTATCTCTTGTGTGTGTCGTCCTCTCCCAATAGGGCCCCAGCAGTCCTATTCCCTAGTACCTCCCCGCAAATCAACCGAAACACAGTCTCTTGCCCCTCTCAAAAGCCCTATATCCTACCGAACCTACTACCATTCTCCTTGCGCTCAAAAGCCCTCACCACTGCTCAGAAACACTATTGCTAAACCCGCTCGCCACAGTACCTCACAATTTCCAACACCGCGCAGCACAAAACCCGAGATGTACCAAAGCTTTGTCTCCCAACCGGGGAATTATAATAATGGAGATTGGGTCAAACTAAAGTCAATTAATGTAGAGGATTATAGTGGGGCATTCAGTGTGGGAGGGCGGCTTTTGGAACGTGGATCAAGGGGCTGTGTAGGGTGCTGGACTAGGTGCTGGATTAAGGAGAGGGAGAGACAGTGGGTTCGGAGATGTCGGTTACGGCACGAAGGTCTTAGATGCAGGTTTGTATATTCGGGTGAGCTCCCGGTGAGGAGATCTCAACTTCGGGAGAAGGTCGTGGAAGTCTGGGAGGACAGTCGGTAGCAGAAGGGTGGTTAGGATTCAAGTAACGAGTAGTTTTTCGTTCGGGGTGACCGAGAGAGCACGGTTATGTGGCAACAGACCGCCGGGGACGTAGCGAGTGCAGGTAGGGGTAGCAATGTGAAATACTGGCAAAAAGAAAGAAGAAAGGGGGAGGAAAAAATGTGGGGTAGGATAGGGAAAGTATGCAGAATTGGTGGCGGCTTTCGGAATAGGATATTCAAGAAGTCGACGAAACCCTGTCTGGTTGTGCTGCGTGGGTCATGCTAGAAAAATTATAGGTTTGGATCTGCCCCATGCTCGAGGAGAAGCTGGACAATCGATTCACAAGGAAATTCTTTAGCTGCTCGCAGTGCATTGCGATACCTGCCACCCTGAGCATTCACCTCTGCCCCACGCTCGAGGAGAAGCCGCACAACCGATTCGTTTTCCCCGTATGCAGCTGCTTGTAGTGCATTGCCATACTCGCCACCCT